AACCTGTCCCATGTAACTAGTTCTTATATAATGGTTTTCATAGATGTTGTATATCATCTGATCCTCACGTAACCAGACGATACTGATACAGTTTTGGTGCATCTCACAGGTGAAGAAGAGCTTATATGAGATCAGCTGAAGTTCACAAAGCCACACAGATGAAAATAGACAGGATTCAAACCTATGCCGTGAGTTAACATTGCCAATTTTTTTAAACCTATGATGCCCGTTCTTCTAGACTCTCCTTCCTTATGTCATGATGCTTCTTTTTGAGAAGTAAAAAAAATCTGATTTGTTTACAGTGGTACTGTGAATGTGAATTTGCAACTTACCTGTTCTCAATTGCATCATCCTTATCAAAATATATTTATTAGTATTATTCACTATTTACAATGTGGTCGGTAAGTTGCCCATCACCCTGGTTTCTCTTCTCTCCTCTGCTTTCTTTCCCAGAATTGAACTGCATGATAGTATTGAGTTCAGGTTCTTGAGGAGCTCTTGTTACAGTGCTAAGAGTGTGATGGGCATGTATTGTGTTTGAGGAAGATCAAAAGCTGAGTTCTCATGTGGATTTCAGTCCTCAGTCATCTTTTAAAACTGACCCTACAATTTAGGCATACTTCCACCAGGTGGCAGCAACATTCCGTAGAGGGGGTCTAACCTAGTAGGCATCTGTGAAAATAATGGTTTTTTAAAAATACAGTTATCTGAGTTGTAACCATGCTATTTGGGTGATTAAGGTCTTCTACTTTAGCTTTTTTTGTTTCAGAATGAAAAACTGATGTCCAGAGAGGTCAAGAGCCTAATCTACCACTGTAGGATGGGAACTGGAACTTAGTTTCTGTAACTTCTAGCTTAGGACTTTTCTCTTGCAAATATGTATATTTAAAGGATCTCTAAAACTTCTAAATGTACTTTAATCTTATACTTTATTTTGGAATGCTTGGTGAAAAGACTTTGAATCTGTGTAAGGTTAATGTGTTTACTCATCGCCCTTGGAAGGAATACAAACTGAGATAATTTTCAAACTCTAATTTGAGAATCAAGATTGTGTTTTAATTCCAAACACCTCTGGATTTTTCTCTAGGCTTCACCTTGAAGCAATTAAAGTAACCTTAATAAAATAGGTATGCTAAAATGTTAAACAAACATGAAAGAAAATCATAATTTTAGGAGAAGTTGTCAGCAAACAAACTCTTAAGATGCATAGAATCATAGTGAGATAAATTTTGGGTTGAATTTCAGAGAAATGTCTCTTAAATATTTGTAATTTTATATGGAGTTTATTTGCTTTTGTACTTTTTGATGTTTACTTGAATGGCTTTAAATTCTTAAATTTAATCATATTTGAAATTTGATATTTGAAAGTAAGCTATGAAGCGTTTATGGTTATATCCAGGTGAGTTAAATAAGGTAACTATTTTTATAGAATAAGTTGACAGATGCATTGAGTGTCCTCCCTCTACATTTTCCTGTCCAATGCAGACATTGCTAATTTATAATTTGCTTTTTATTCTTGAGCTTCTCAGTATGACTTTGTAGATAATCATTATCACTATAATCAGAGTTGGCACGACAGATGGCTTCTATTAGCATTCTATCAGCCTTCTCTAATCCCCTCAAAATGTATAGAGCATAATGAGGGGGTTATCTTCTAAGTTATCCCAGATCTTAATTCAGTATCAAAACTCGTTCAAAATTAGTCGGGCTTGATTCTCTCAGACTCAGGATCTCCTGGACCAGTTTATCCCCAAGCCTAGGGAAGAATGCTTCTCTTGATAAGAACTTCTTGCCTTCTCTCCTTTGCAGTCTATTTTGGGAGTCATTTATTTTTTCTTTCAGCCATCTCCATTGCTAAATTTCTTCCTCTGAATTCACCTATTACCATGTGTGTCAAGAATCTCAGTAATTATGTTCCTTCATATAGAAGATATTTCTGTCAGTTAATTTTTATTTTCAGACTAAAGATTGCTAACTTGATCACCATGAAACAGATTAACTCCTTCTGTGTAAACTTTATTTCCATAGAAAAAGTTTCAAAAAACAGGAAATCATTGTCTCAAAATTTCAGACTTTCAGAGTTGAGAGGGGTCTTTAGAGAGTGAAGCCCAGCAGGGGTGGGGAGATGCTACTGACTCATCTGTAGAGACACATCCAGGTCTTGGCAATACTGGGCACAGCACCCACCACATTAAAGAGTCAAGGAAGGAACTGTTTTCATTACGATGAAAATGAGTCACAGTAAAAAGTCACATAGAAAGGAAAGAGCTCTTGTTCATGACCCTAGAGACAGTGAATGATGTTGTTAGTTAACGTTCATTGAGTGGTTTTTTTCACTAGGCTCTATGCTAAGGCTTTCTTATTCACGTCTCATTTCAGGATCACGACAACCTGTTTGAGATAAGTATTATTACACCAGCTTTACAAGTAAGGAAATCGATATGTAAGAGATTTAAAAACTCGGTACATGTTTATATGAACAAAATGACAGAGCTAGAATTCAAACCCAACTCTCTCAGTTGGAAATTCATGTTTTTAAACACCATATTTTAGTACAAAGTTTGGCCTGTTTGTGTGTGGTTTACTGCCAGCGAAGGGTCTCTTAAAGTGGAAGGCTGCCCATCCACACAAAAGGAAGTCTTCCTGGACCTAGATCTGGGAAGGCTCACGGAGAATAAGGCAGAGGGCTGTAAATAAGACTCTGGCGTGGGTTGCTGGCCCTGTTCCCCATCACCCCAGAGAACAATCAGCGCTCAGAAAAATGTTTGTCTGTAATGACTGCTGGGCTTTTCCTTTGGACCCAGGAGTGAGCGACAAGGCAGCCACATGGAGGGCGAGCATGGCTACCCCTCCCCATTACAATAATGAACTCTCAGAGGCCATTTGAGACTTGGTAATAAAGGGGGTCTAGAAGCAGACATTACTATTTCTGTGAGGCCAAAGTATACAAAAAATTTGATGGAACCAGAAACCAGACATGGAGCAGCGGGAAACACAGATGAATTAAAATTTCCAAAGATGTTGTTGGAGCAAAGCAACCAATAATTCTTCTCCTCTAGCATCAGAACTCAGGACACTTCTGTATGAAATAATTCAGTAAGTTTGGCTTCTTTCCTCCCACATCATTCATCAAACAAATGACAATTATAAATGTACAGCCTTTGCCATATTTTATCTGTAAAAGGGGCAGAGTACCTCTACCCACTTCCAGAGAGGGTTAAATGAGTTAATATTAATCAAGTCCTTAGAACAGTGCCTGGTACTCAATAAACCCTTATAAGTGTTTGTGATTTTATTACATATTACATAGTATATAATTAGCATTGAGCACTCATTGTAAGCCAAACACTCTGCTAAGTTCTGTGGATAAGCAGTGAAGAAAATTCATTCAATAAACAAATATTTACTGTGCCAACATCACAGACACTCTTCTAGGGACTCAGGATAGATAAATAAACAGAACACATAAAACACCCCGCCTGCCTTTGAGTAGCTTACATTCTGGTAGGGAAGATTTCGCTAAGATGAGAAACACCAAACTCATCCAATTTCCTCTTTGGTGGGATTAATAGATTGATGTCATAGTGGAGAGTTGTCTTGGCTCTTCTTGGTTTTGGCTGATCCATCAGTGACTGATTGTGGGGAGATTTAAAATGTTTAGAAAACACAAAGCTAGGAGGACTATTTATTTGAACAACTTTATAGACAGATCTTTAACATATATTAAATGGCATATATTTAAGATGTACAATTTGTTGTTTTTTATATATATGCATATGTTGTGAAAAATCACAATCAAGGTAAATAACTTATCTATCACCTCTACATAGTTACCTGTGTGTGTGTGTGTGTGTACTGAGAAGATTTAAGATCTATCTTCTTAGAAAACTTTCAAGTATACAATAATGTTAACTATTGTCACCATGATGTTCAATAGATCTCCAGAACTTATTTATCCTGAGTAACTGGAACTTTGCACCCTTTAACCAACATCTCCCCTCCTCTTCCCCACCTCATCCGAGCTCCTGGCAACCACCATTCTACTGTCGGCTTTTGTAAGTTTGACTTTTTAAGATTCCACGTACAAGTGAGATCATGTGGAATTTGTTCTTCTGTGTCTGGCTTATTTCACTTTGCATAATGTCTTTTGTGTTCATCCATATTGTTGCAAAAGACAAGATTTTCTTCTTTATCATGGTGAATAATATTCCATTATTTATCTATCTATCTATCTACCATCTATTTCAAATTTTCTTTATCCATTCATCCATCAATGGACATTAAGTTGTTTCCATATCTTGACTATTGTGAATTATAATGAACATGGTTAGTCCAAATTTTAATCTTTTAATGCATTTTATGCAGTGACTTATATAAAAACTTATTATATAATTAGAAAAATTCTAAGCATGTATGCATATGTGTAATATATATATATATATATATATATATATATATATAAATAAAAACATATATTTTCCCCCTTTAGTTTTACTACCTAAAAGAATAGGCTGTTTTTATTATGGGTTGAATTTTCTCCCTCAAAATGGAATATGTAAAATATTATACCCCGTTGTATTTAGCTCCTTAAAAAAAACCAGCCCCTTTTTTGTATTCTTATACCAAAGATATGTAAAAGATAAGACATTCCTAACTTTATTGTTAACTTGAGCTTACATTTTCAAGTCTGGACATCTAAAAAGCCATAAAAGACCCAAGTCCAAGGAGCCTTGAGACTCATCTGATTCAACCCTCCTATTTTTCAGTTCAGGAAATGAGAATCCCATGAAGTGAAATGACTTCTTCACAGCCCCCAGGGAGTTAGGAGTGGAGCTGTGGACAAAATTCAGATTACTGGCTCCTAGTCATTCTCTGTTCTATCAGACTAATTCTCTTCCAGTCAACAAATTATATAGCATACGGTTTTACAGTGCCAAGAGATTATCGCAGGTTGCCTTCCTCCGAGAAGACCTTGCCTAGCAGGTGGCTAAACTTGGTGTTAACTGTATGATCTTCTAGGAAATACCCACTCATCTAATAACAAAGTCTAACTGGTCACAGGATTGCTTCTTCCCCTTGTGCAGGAAGCAAGTCTATGGCTGAAGGCAGGAACAACACAAGTGTGACAAAATTCATCCTCCTGGGATTTTCAGATCATCCTCGAATGAAGATTTTCCTTTTTGTTTTATTTCTGGGGATTTATCTCCTGACACTAGCCTGGAACCTGAGCCTCATCGCCCTCATCAGGATGGACTCTCACCTGCACATGCCCATGTACTTCTTCCTCAGTAACCTGTCCTTCCTGGATATCTGCTATGTGTCCTCCACAACACCCAAGATGCTCTCTGACATCATCACAGAGCAGAAAACCATTTCCTTTGTTGGCTGTGCCACGCAGTACTTTGTCTTCTGTGGAATGGGGTTGACAGAATGCTTTCTTTTGGCAGCCATGGCGTACGACCGGTATGCTGCAATCTGCAACCCATTGCTCTACACAGCCCTCATATCCCATTCACTTTGTTTGAAGATGGTGGCTGGGGCCTATGCAGGTGGATTCCTCAGTGCTTTGGTAGAAACCTACTCTGTCTATCAGCATGATTTCTGTGGGCCCAACACGATCAACCACTTCTTCTGTGACCTTCCTCCGGTCCTGGTTCTGTCATGCTCTGATACCTTCACCAGCCAGGTGGTGAACTTCCTCGTGGGTGCTGTTGTTGGGGTGGCATCTGTCCTTGTGATCCTCATCTCCTATGGTTACATTGTTGCTGCTGTGCTGAGTATCAGCTCAGCTAAAGGTAGGACCAAGGCCTTCAGTACCTGCGCCTCTCACCTGACCGCTGTGACCCTCTTCTGCGGTTCGGGTCTCTTTGTGTACATGCGACCTAGTTCCAGCTACTCCCTGGACCAGGACAAGGTGGCATCCATATTCTATGCTCTGGTGATCCCGATGGTGAATCCCATCGTCTACAGTCTGAGGAATACGGAGATTAAAGATGCCATGAGGAAAGGTGTGAAAAGGGATTGTTTGCTTTCTCGTGGGCATTGATTTTTCTGACCCTGGTATAATGGTTACGGTGAAGCTGTGAGCTGGGTCACTTGTTCAGCCTTCCATGTCATGCACAACAATTTGTGCTGACCAGGCTTTTTTTTTTTTTTCAGATATTCCCTTAACCAGTTTCCAATTGGTTATGGGAAAACAGTTTGGCCATTATTAGTTTCTAGAATGAATAGCATTGCATAGATTGAGATTATAAATGCTCCTTTTAGCAGAAACTTCACCATGACAAAGACTGACTAACCTGGAGCATGACAATAAGAGTTTGTGTCTGTAGGAGGAAAATATTGAAAAAAATGTTAGTCCAGCATTCGGGGTGGAGATTCTTAAGGTAGGTCAGGAATATACAGCATTATAATCTAAAAAGGGCATACTTTTTCTAAAACAGTTGCCTTTCCTTCTAATGAGATTATATTATGATAATTTATCACCATCTGAGCCAAAGAAATAGAAGACATTTTCTTAGTTTGGTAGAAAAGTTGACCTCCGTAATAGCTTTGACACATTGGAAAGTGAGTTTGCAAAGACTGGTTAAGAGTATTTGTTAAGTATTCTTAAGTCATCAGACCTGTAATTATTAACCTCATCTCTGCCATTTTGCAAGTATGTGGCCTTAGGTAAGTTATTTACAAGCTCCATTTTTCTCATGTGTAAAAATGAGAATAATACTTCTATCTACCTCATGATTAATGCAACAATTAATTGAGGGTATGCATGAAAAAGGGCTTAGCCTAGTGCTTGGTATATTTTATATTTAATAAATACTAGCTCATTTTATCAGTCAATTAGTCAATATCATTAGACAGTTTTATATAAATCAGGAGAAATCCAGGTTAATGTGTTAAAAAGAGACAGAGGAAATAACTTCATAGTGTCTACTCAAATTGGGATGTAATAGCATGCCTATAACGTCTCACCCCTGCTCTTTCTTTTGCATTCAGGAAGCAGTCCTTAGGGAAACAGAAATAACTCAGATTCATAGAAGTGGCCACGTGTAGAAATGCTACCATTGTCCTAAGTCTGTCAGCTACCTGGACACATTGCCTTTTCCTTATTGCCATTTTTCTTCCATCTTTCTTCATGTGTGCTCCAGTTCACTGAACTCCTATCCTTCAACTTACCTTTGGTAGCTAATCTTAAATTCCCCTAATGCCAGGAGTCGTTGGAAAAATGAATGAATGAATGAATGAATAAATAAGCCTCATGCTTTGGATTTATGTGGACTATCACTGGTCTATTATTATATCTATTTTTTTTTGATGAGCAAAGACTCTGACTATAAGGTCTTTATAAGAATCTCTTTTGTTTGGCCACATATAGGTTTGCTACTTATGGAAATTTTCTCTTTTCATTGAGAAGATATAAGGCGTTTTTGCAGGTTGCTCAGCTACCCAGGAGAAAGTAATGCTCATTCAATAATTATCCTGCAATCTAGTGCTTAAGATGGGGATTGGTACAAAGCCCGAATAAAGCAAAAATGATCCGGGGCTTCTAATCAGCCACAGGTTAAATAAAACTTCCCAAACAAGCGCATTTATTATGGAGCATATGAACAGGCATGCATTAAGCAGAATATTTTTGGCACTAAAAGAATCAGGTAATTTATAGCCATTTGAAACAGGACAGGGTACAGCTGTCTCCAGGGGGTGGCTAGCTAGCTGGGGACGAATTCACTTTGGTAAAATTACCACAATTCTGGGCATGGTGCTCATTTCGCGACCTCTGAGAATCTTTTCCAGATGGACAAAAGCTAACCAAGTTCAGCATAGCTAGTTGCAGAAGCCGGAATGCCGTTTTTAGTTTTCAGTGAAGAACAAAGCCGCCAAGCTTGTACTTGTGCCAGTGGCACAATTCTTCGTCCTGTTGAAGAAACCACATGGAAAGGCAAGTTATGATCAAAAGTCTATTTGGAAAGAAAGGAATCAAAGCAAAGTGGATGATGTGTGTCAGCACCTGAGATGTCCGGACACGGGGTACAGACAGGCTGAGCCCCTGCTCCAGGGCACTACTAAGTTTTCTCTGCAAGCATTCATTTCCCTCTCTTCTAAGTGACCATTTTTCTTTTTAATCAATATATTATTTACAGATTGATTAATTGACAGGTTTTCCTTCTTTTGATACAGGAAATATTTTGTCTCTAAAATGCCTCTTTTATACATTTTAATTATGTATTATGACTTGTTTTATGGTTTCATTTTTAGCATCTTCAGAAACCTGATTATTGTCCACCTACATTCCCCTAATTTTTTGGGTGGGTATATATGATCACACACACACACACACTCATTCACACACTCCCCAATTAGTGACTGATGCATTAAGTGAGCTCTGATGAGATTTTAAACTTTTTTCTAAAGATTAATGGTCTCATGTTTCTAGTCTTAAATCTAGGCAAACCTAGAACTTGCCTATTCTGATCATTCACACAATTAAGGAAACATTTCCATTTCACTTCCCTGTGTCCAGATAACTGATTTGAGTCTCCCTGACCTACAACTGGGCAGGGAGAGTCTGACTGTCTTGCATGGAAAGAGAGAAACCACGTATCCCAGCGTTGTCCCATTAGCTTGATCAACAACTACCTTCCCTGAACTCTTGGTGTGTCTCCTTGTCATAACATCTCTTAAGTGACTGGGGAAGAAACACCAACTGCTTGTATCAGACCTTTGCTGCCTTTATTCTGTCCTCACTCTTCATGCTTCCCACTCCCTTTCTAATGCTGGCCAAAATCTCCTATGAGCAATGCTGCTTATGGATCTGCCCAGGGGCAAGTAAAGAAATAGTCAGTGGGCTGTTGCAGTCATGGCTTGGAACTGTTATAAACGGGATGTGCCAGCATCTTCCATCAGTGTTGCCAGACTAGATGGCTGACACCATCTGGTAGGAAGACATGCAGACCACACACTTTGGTGGGACCACAGTCTAGAAATAAATCAGGCATCTGGGATCCAGGGAGACCTCATGGAAGAACAGAGGTTTCATCTCTCTCAGAGCAAAGCTCTCCTGAGGGAGAATCACGATACCAGGTTAGATTTATTCAACATAAATAGCAAAGCTGGCGTCTGTAAAGGGTTTTGTTGATATTGTGTGGTATATTCATGTTATTCTAATAAACCTCTTATGCAATGGGAGGCTGGGTTGTTTTCATCTTAAGAAATCCTTAAGGAGCAAGACTGATCCATATGGACCCGAGGAAAGAAGTGCTTATATCAAACACACACAGAAACACATAGTTCATTTTCTAACAACTATAAGCTGAAGAAGTAACCTGGCAGGGGTCATCTCACCCTTCAGCTTGACCCCCAGTCTAGAATACAACTGGAAATGAGACTCTATCTGGGGTTGAGATGCAGCTGGGAGCTGTCCTGGAGCCTAATCAAGAAAAGGTGGATTCTGAGAAGTCCTGCATTTCCACACACCTCCCAGTCCAATTTTCCCTCTATTTCCTGTTATACATACTATTTATAATTTGCTGTATTATCTGCATTATCTGTTTGGATGACACTTTTTTTTTCTTACAGTCTCTCTCTTTTCTTTTTTTCCACCAGAAGGCAAAGCAAATATTCCTTCTCTGTTTAACATTTTTGGTGTCTGTGGCTTTCAGATCTCTGAAGGTTCTGGGATTGTTTCTTATCATAGATGCCATCCCTGATAGTTTTTCAACAGAAGACCATACACGAGATTTTCCTGCTTCAGCCAATTAACATCTTTGATGAAGATGCTAGCCTTCTTTATTCATTTGATTCAGTTTTACTGGACAATTACAGCTGGGTGTAACTCGCTGTTACTTCCTTATCCTTTTTTTCTCCTTTTGGTATTTAGTATGTGTCCTTTTTAAAAATTTTCTTTTTCTTTTTTTTTTCTTTTTTTTTTTTAAATTTTTTTTTTGAGGGGGAAGGTAATTAGGTTTATTTATTTACTTTTTTTTTGATGGAGGTACTGGGGATTGAACCCAGGACCTCATACATGCTAGGCTAGCACTCTCCCACTGAGCTACAGCCTCCCCCCAAAAATTTTATTTTTAATTGAAGTGTATTTGACATATAATATGGTGTTACTTTTATTTTTTTAATTGAAGTATAGTCAGTTACAATGTGTCAATTTCTGGTGTACAGCATGTCGCAGTCATGCATATACATAAATTCATTTTCATATTCTTTTTCATTGTGAGATTGCCACAAATTCAAGTGAGGCTTAGAATAAAGCAACATTTAAAAAGAACAGAATTGAGGGTGGGTAGAGCACATGCTTACCATGAATGAGATCCTGGGTTCAATTCCCAGTACTTCCATTAAAAAAAAAAAGCAGGCAAGGGTGCTCTGAGGATTTTGATTTCAAGACGGTATTTCCCCTTTTCCTCACAAATACCTTAGGGGAAATTGAAATAACAATCGGAGGGGAAACTTCTAAGGCCCTTGTAGACATGGTGGGGTGACATTATCTGTTCTTAACCCTATCCTTATTCATTGCCTCTCCCTCAGAGTAAACAATCAATTCAAATGGTAGGAATTTCAAATTTTCCCATGCAGGTTTCAAAATCAGAGTCAATAGCCTTTCCGCTTAGAACTATCACAGGGAGACGTATATCCCTTTTGATGAAATGTAGTCCAACTCATTCGATTGGATGAGACTTTTTTGGAGTCATATAACACTTATGTCACCTTTTCATCTAGAGATGAAATGATTTTACGTTTAGAAGATATAGAGGCAGATTAGAACATAAGTGGTTATGAAATGAAAATTCAGACACATTAAGAAGAAATTAATGGTTTACTATGACAAATGCCTAAGGAATTGTGGTCTCCTTCTTCCTCAGAGATTGGGAAAGTTAAAATGGCTGCTCCTATTAGAGTAACTGTTGGTAATTCCAAGCTATCCAATATTGGGATATCCACTAAGGCCAGAGGCATTAAGTGGAATAAGATCTATTATTTAGGAATTCCTTAAGAAAAGACTTATGATTCCTCGCACCAGTCCTTGCATTACTCCGACTTTACCTGTAAGAAAGCCAAACGGAAAAAGCTAAAGGGTTGCTCAAGCCCTGAGAGCTATAAA